ATTAATTAATATCATAGTTTTATAGCATTTTTTATTTTACAATTCAGAGCAGATTTTCTGCTAACTGGGAGTCCTGTTTGACTATAAAGAATATGATGATTTAAATTCTCCAAGGACTTGTTCTTATAACTAATATAAACATCACGCGCTACAAAAATGAATTTCTCAAATTTTCATAAAATTAAATAAGTTGAAAATAAGAAAATATTTTTACCAAGATTTTCTAAAAAAAAAAAAAAGAAAGATTTCCATTCACTTGTGAATAATTCCTGAAAGTTTCATTAAAATCAGACAATTATTTGAATTTTGCAAGAATTTACAAATTAATATGTTTCACATCGCAAAAAGACGCTCAGATTTCCCATACTGACGCAAGAAAATCAAATTTTTCAACCAAAATTTACGAAGGTCCTAAAAATGGTTAAAAATATAATTTAATAATCAAAAAATCCTTTGGTATTTACTCTTAATAATAGCATAAAGTTTTTGATGATAAAATTTTGTTTTTATTAATTTTTTTTTCATTATGGTATGCTTATTTTTTAGCTAATCTTTGAAGGTATCTAGGCAAAAGAAGCCTTAATTTTGTTGATATTTTCAAAATCTGGGTCAGTAAAGAGACTCATACTTAGGACCAAATTCGCTAGGAGTAACGTGCTTTACTGACCCACACTCACTACGGCAGGTGCAGGAAGAGACCAACTAATCTACGTTAAAGAGCATCTTCAGGTGCCCGTCTATGTTACACGGCTGTTTGCTTCATTTTCCTCGTGATATAATGTGGTATGCGTGTAATTTTATATTAGTAAGAGTTTTAAATGACGTGTACGCCTTGTCTTTTCCTTTTAGTCTATTTAAATAAAAGAAAAAGAAAATATCGCTCCCATCCTATTTCGTTCCCGTTTCGTCAAATGTTCCCAGAAGAAAGAGAAAGTATGAAGTGTGAAGATGAAAGACATCGAATCGGTCAGTCGGAAAAAGGCATTTGCCGCCCTCAGCAAAGAGGCGCTCTGTTATTTGCAATCTACAACGGACAACCTTCCTTAATTGAAAAGCATTTTAAAAAGAGAGGATTGTACTTCTTCTTCTTCTTCGGGCCGTGTCCCTTCAGGAAGTAGTGATCATGGCTCTCCACAATTTCCTGTCTTTTGTAGCTCATAATAAATTTTGTCTTTTTATTATCTCTCCTAAAAGCTCGTTTTTCTTCTTCTATGTGCCGTGTCCCGTCAGGACGTTGCCGATCATGGCTCTCCACAATTTCCTGTCCTTTGTAGCTCTTAATAAATTCTTTTTGTTATTTCTCCTAAACCCTGTTCTGCGATCCATTTACACAAGTTCGTTTTTCTTCTTCTATGTCCCGTGTTCCCTCAGGACGTTTGCGATCATGACTCTCCACAATTTCCTGCTCTTTGTGTCATCCATTTACTCAACCCCTCTAAATAAGTTATACGGTGTTTTCCTCTTTCCTTGTTGCCTTCAATCTGAGTTTGAAAGCTCTCTTTCCTCATAATGTGTCCTGGAAATTTTAACTGTCTCTTCCTGATGTTAAGTTTCCTTTTTGTTTTTGTCTCTAAAATGTTGTCGTTGTTCGATCCATGTTATCCACGTCATCCTTTTGTAGAACCACATTTCTGTTCCTTCAAGTCTCTTCTTCATCTTTGAGGAGATCGCTCAGCATTCACTGCCATATAGAAAGACTGATATTACGTAACAGTTCAGTTTGTTTCTCTTGCTTCAAGTCTCTTCTTCATTTGTGAGGAGATTGTCCAGCATTCACTGCCATATAGAAGGACTGATATTACGTAACAGTTCAGTATTCTTTTCTTTGTTTCTCTTGCTTCAAGTCTCTTCTTCATCTTTGAGGAGATTGTCCAGCATTCAATGCCATATAGAAGGACTGATATTACATAACAGTTCTGTACTCTTTTCTTTGTTTCGGTTGCTTCAAGTCTCTTCTTCATCTTTGAGGAGATTGTCCCGCATTCAATGCCATATAGAAAGACTGATATTACGTAACGGTTCAGTATTCTTTTCTTTGTTTCTCTTGCTTCAAGTCTCTTCTTCATCTTTGAGAAGATTGTCCAGCATTCACTGCCATATAGAAGGACTGATATTACATAACAGTTCTGTACTCTATTCTTTGTTTCGGTTGCTTCAAGTCTCTTCTTCATCTGTCTATAGTTTGTCCAGCATTCAATGCCATATAAGAAGCCTGGTATTGCATAACTGTCCAGTACTCTTATAGTTTCTAACGAAATTCTCATGTTTCTTAATACTCTGTTTAGCTTCTAGTAGGCATCTTTGGCTATTTCAATGCGCTTTCAGATTTCAGTGTCGCACTTTCCGTATTGATTTCATTACTTATATATAAATCTCCTCATTTTCTTTCTTTTGAACTTTCTTTCTTTCTTTCTTTCTTTCTTTCTTTTGAACTTTCTTTTCTTTCCTTTGTTCCTTCCCTTGTTGCTTTATCTATCCCACCTCGACTAGACCTCTTCTATTTCCACAAGTTGACTGCGAAGTAAGGTCTCCAACCCTATAAAAACAAGTTTTAGACCAGATCTTCTTTTACTTCTGTGTGTTTTGTCCCTTCAGGATGTGAACAATCATGGCTCTCTACAATTTCCTCTCTAGACCTTAGCATTGTTTCTTCCTTTGCGAAGCATCGCGCCTCCCGTTCTGACATCCATTCACGCAATTTAGGTAGGAAGCGCGCTGCTTTCACCTATCTCTGTTGCCTTCGATATGCCTTGTGAGGATTAGGTTTTCCAAGCCTACTTTTCTCGTTATGTTCTTAAAAAAATTTCAGCTGCATCTTTCTGTTTCTTAGTATAAATGTTCTTTTTATTACCATTTTCTTTAAAACGTCCTGGTTGCTTACTCGCTCCATCCATGGCATCCTCAGCATCCTTCTGTAGAACCACATTTCTGTTGTTTTTGGTTTCCTCTTCATCTGTGGGAAGATTTCCAGCATTCCCTGCCATATAATAAGATGGATATCACAGAGAAATCCAGCACTATTTTTTGTTTCCAATTAAATTTTTCTGTTACTTAATACTTTGCTTAGCTTTTGAAAGGCATCTTCCGTTAATCCAATGCGCGTTCAGATTTCGCTGCCCTCTGTTAAAATAGTCTCCATATATTTAAACTTCTGTACTTTCTGTACAAGTTTTAGATTAGATAGATTAATTAAACGATATCAAGGGCCGGTGCGTTCTACCTCCAAGACCCCGACCTAAATAGGGGCCCCAGGAAGTGCTTTGTGACCTTTGATATCAACATTTTCTTTTTTCTACCGAGATTTATATACTTAATAATTAAACGTAGTACAACTGACTATTAGAGGATGTAAAATTTTAGTGGATTTTTGCATCATTCTGGTGTCCACTTCAAAATTATAAGAGTTGATTGATAAGTAAGGGCTCCAATCGTATAAAACAGGTTTTAAACCAGATAGAATAATGAAATTGGTGTCAAAATGAAATCAATTTGTTCTCCAAGATTATAATGTTTGATTTAAAAGTAAGGTCTCTAAAACATGCTTTACAGCAGATAAAAAGAATGAAACCGATGCAAAAATGAATGAAGTTTATTTCTCTTCAAAATTATGATTGATTTGTGTTCTACGTTTTGTAAACCCTTTACAGGTTATTTAAAGCCAAAAATTGTTGTTTTTTTTAGATTGTAAGAGATTTTTTGAGATAAAAATGACTTAGTGACACAAATCCTACTAATTAACCCATAGCTGGAGGTGGAGAAGCGGTGGATTCATACCTTTCCTAATGGTATTTGTCCGCAAGTGAATATAATGAATCCGACTGGAATTGAAACACGACCGTCCGATTTCATTTCGAGCTGTTATCCATTACACCAACCGCACAAGCACCTGGTATTCCGGAACAGTCACCTATCTAGGTACTGACCAGGTTCGATATAGCTTAACTTCGGTGATCGTACGAGGTCCGGTGTTTCAACCTGATATAGCCATAAGCGATACTACCCGCACATCAAACTTACAGCGACTGGTATTCCCAAACGGTCACCCATCTAGGTATTGACCAGGGTCGACGTTGCTTAACTTCGGTGATCGTACGAGAACCGGTGTTTCAACGTGATATGGCCGTAAGCCGACCAAAAATTCTAGATTACTCATTCAAAAAGTATAACCAACACAATTGGCAAATTATTTAAATATCGCCGCCATTTTTATGGCATTGGTTTTTATTTGGATGTTTTTATTTTTAATGATTTAAAAATTCGCATTTATTTCTTACATACAATAAAATTAATGATCTAGGATCGGGTTGGTTGATTTTATGATCTATCTACCATTGTTTGGTTAAAATTGTAATTAATCGTTTATTTAATTATATTTGAGTGTAAACGTTTACTTGGTTTGGTAATAGGTAAATATTGATTGTTTTATTTGAGTCTGGAAGCATTTACTTAGTCTGTGGCTCATTGGGGAGATCTCACTACTCTGCAAGGGATGCAATCGACGTATTCTAGGCATTGTCGTGTAACAGGATAAAGATACTTGATTAAACTGCAGAAAAAGATCATCATTGCACTAACCGCACAACCTAAACTTATAGCACCTGGTATTCCGAAAGGGTCACCCATCTAGACACTGAACAGGGTCGATATTGCTTAACTTTGGTGTATGTACGAAAGCCGGTGTTTCAACCTGATATAGCCTTAGGCGATTGCTACCCACACATCCAAGCTTACAGAGACTGGTATTCCCAAAAGGTCACCCATCTAGGTACTGACCAGAGTCGACGTTGCTTAACTTCGGTGATCGTACGAGAACCGGTGTTTCAACGTGATATGGCCGTAAGCCGACCCAAAATTCTAGATTACTCATTCAGAAAGTATAACCAACACAATTGGCAAATTATTTAAATATCGCCGCCATTTTTTATGGCATGGGTTTTTTTATTTGGATATTCTTAATGATTTAAAAATGCATAATTCTTTCTTACATACAACAGAAATAATGGCAAAGGAAGTAGTTATAGGATAAACACTCTTACCAATGAAGAAAATATCACCAATAAAATTGCAAAATTCCTTAAATTTTATTCCGAAACGGTCGCCTATCTAGGTAATGACCAGGTTCGACGTTGCTTAACTTAGGTGATCGAACGGTGTTTCGACGTTATATGGTCTAAATCGCTCTTCAGCATTACGAGGGTCGATTGATTAATGAGTTACCCAATACTGCAGAACATGTTGTTCGCCAAATATGACAATGAAATTAATGTCAAAATGGAGTTAATTCATTTCTCTTCAAAACTGCATTTTTTTTTTTTTTTTTTGCGAAAGCGGTATTTATTGCTGTACATTACACTTATTTTTCCCTCCAAGAAGTAATTTTCTAGTTGGTCTTCGATCGAACTGAGCATTGCAACTTCATCTTCGGGCTCAGATGAAATGTTTTTCTCTTCCAATTACGGAAACGAGCATCAATTTGAAGGCGCATCTTTGCGAATATCAGTGGGGTGAGGCACCGAATATGAATTTCACGTTTCTCGCCGTTTGCAAACATGTTTACTGAATCGCAACATTTCGCTATAATAATGAGAAAAAACAATCGGTAGGAATAATTCAGGAATTACGTCAAAATATTCATTCACTGCAATGATTATATAAGTAGTTTTTTGGTTTTTTTTTCACACCAAGCAAGGTAATAATACCACTAGGACGCAATCATTGTCCATGGAGTGAAAGAGAATGAGAAGAATTTATTGAGGACAAGGACAGTAAAGGTTTGCTTTGGTTGATTTTGTTTATCATCATATCAATAACTCTATGGGTTATTTAATTCCGAAATCTAAATATTTTTTATGCAATTTTATAGCTTCAACTACATATGTTTTGAACGCAATTTTATGTCTTCAACTGCATATATTTTGTACATAATTTTATACTTTAAGTTTAAACGTAAGTTTCTTTTAGATATATAGTTTGCAGATGATGGAAATATATTGTTGATAACATTTTATAAGTCTTATAACTCTTTTTTACTATCAAATTTTTTTTTTTTTTACTTTTTTTATTGCTGCATAGTTGGTCATTTTACTATGAAAATGTATTGCTGGAAATTTTACTACAAAATATATTGTTGGTAATATTTTTTAAAACGTTTTGCTGGTATTTTTACGATAAAAATGTATTTTTATAATTTCCTGTTTCTACTATTCCGAGTGAGGGTGAATCTGGGAACAACAGCAATTAAAAGGTGGATCCACGCTCCTCAAAACCTCCAATCTCCCGATCAGAGGCCAAGATGTAGTTTATTGTCATACTAGAGCAATAAACGAACAGGGTACAGGAAGGCAGAAGATGGCGATTGACATTGCATCTATATTTTTGAAAATTGTAGTTGGCAGGGAAGCAACAAATTGGAAGGAATTTCCTCAGGCGAGTTAATGAAATACGTCAAAATATCCATTCTCTCTAATGATTACGTATATAACAATTTGGATTAATGAATGAACTACCATTATCTCAGATAAATAATGGGCCATTCCCGTTTTACGAGAATAAACGGAAGACGTTATATCAAACGTACGTGCTGTTTGCTTTTAAGGAAAGGGAAGGAAGGAAGGAAGGAAGGAAGAAAAAAAAGAAAGAAAGAAAGAAAGAAAGAAAGAAAGAATAAATAAATGCATGAATGAATGAATGAATGAATGAATGAAAGGGGAGATATGTGTTTAACGTCTGCTCCAGTGAAATGGAAAATGTGAATTTTGAATATTTTTTATTTTTACTCATTTGCTGTTTTAAATGAGCTGCATCCAAATTTTTGATTGTTATTGTAATATTTTGCTAACGTTGTTAAACTCAAATATTTAATGAAGCAATAAGGATGCTTTCATGTGTATTTTATAGTCTTGGAACCTGCGAGGAACTTATTCGGTCATTAACTTAAAAATTAAGAATTCATCAAAAAATTCAAATAGGAAACCTTGACATTTTCATGGTTATTTCTAGCTATTATTATTATTATTATTATTATTATTATTATTATTGAATTTCCGAATGCTGTATTTTTACTACTCTTCTCTTCTATGGCCTTTGTGATATTCTAATATTTTCTTTTTCCACGTTTTGGATGGTGGGTTTTAGTCATACGATTTTGTTCTTGTTGCTCCTGAAAAAAAAAGCACTTAAGAGGGTCGGAGAATAAACTGTCCAATACATTAAAAAAGAGAAGAAATAAAGAAAAAACTGAAAACGATGAGAATAATAAAATACATACTTAATATTAACAACTACCCATCTCAAAAATTCAGTTTACCTCTCTGTCATTACCCCCCACTCTCTCTCTCTCTCTCTATATATATATATATATATGTGTGTGTGTGTGTGTGTATGTGCGTGATTTTTTGTGTATGTGTCTTGCTTTAGCTCAAAAGTAGCTTTCTCTTACCATTTTAAACACCACTCATTAAATGCTTCCATCTATTCGACAGCGTCGATTTAATTCGGCTCTTTTCTCTTTTTATACGGGTAAGCACATAGATCGCTACGGTCCTAATGTCGTTTGACATAACTAAGCAATCGCCGTGAGGGGTTTGTAAGCGATAGCTTTCAATTGTGAGACACAACAAAGAGAACTTCGTTTACAGTTGGCCGATTTGCATTGGACCAGACGATACAAAACAGTACAAAAGCTCTGAGGCAAAACGCCACCCCCCTCAGTCCAATCCTTAACGAAGAAAAAAAAATGAATAAAAAGCAAAAATTAAAAAAGGAGCACTCTAGACGTATACCATACTTTTAATTCCCCCACACGTTTCATATAAAGCCGGGGTAAATACACACGTAGCTGCCCTATCATAGGAAGGTAGGAAAGCATGTAGGCAAGAATCTAATTTTCTCTATGTTGTGATATATATATATATATATATATATATATATATATATATATACAAATGGAGGAAATTAGATTCTTATACACACACACACACATATATATATATGTATATATAAGGTATACTTAGATAGAAATCCAAATAGGTTCTGTTAAATCCACCTGACAAGGGCTGTCTATTTAATTTGATATATTTTTACAATTTCCGAGTGATATGCTCTCTATTGGGCGTAAAATTTATGAATAAACTGTCCAAAGTTCATGTTCTTCGCTTTTTTTTTTTTTTTTTTTTTTGTTAATGAAATACATGCTAACCTCGACATTATCAAGAACTGGATGTTGTCAGTAGATTAAGCAATATTTTCTGGCTAAATCTCAGCGCTCGAACTGGAAAAAGAAGCAGTTCGATATGAAGTCATAGATAACAGTTAAATTGTTAAATTGAAAAAAGAATATAATAAAAATTTAGAGACGGAACTTGTAGGTTGAACTTAACAAAATTTGTTTCTATCTATCTCTCTATCTCTCTCTCTCTCTCTCTATATATATATATATATATATATATATATATATATATATATATAAGGAATATAGTTTTAAGGTGTGCTATATTTATGGGATAGAGTGCTCAATATCAGAAATAGATCGTATGTAAATATAAAAAGGATTGCGCCTAGCATGAAACAACCTGTCCAACTGTTGACTTCAATGTTCACTTTTATTTATCTCTCTCTCTCTCTCTCTCTATATATATATATATATATATATATATATATATATATATATATATATATATATATATATATATATATATATATATATATATATATATATATATATAAATGAAATGGACAAATTTCGACAATTATTTAAAGACATTGTTATGTTTAACATTCTTTTTATGGTATATCCTGACGTGCCTTACCTCTCGGCTACAAAGGATTGTTCGGTTGGCAAATTCGACCTTGCCAATCGAACGATCCTTTGTGGCCGAGAGGTAAAGTCAGGCTATATGACTGTTCCGTATAGGATACAGGTTCGAATCCTGTCGAAGGACGAATATTTTCTATGAAGATTTCTCGGACATTCAGGCCGGTAAATGTTATTTAATACTGTTTATTATAAACAGAGCATTTACTTAAATAAAATGTATCAATAAAAAGAATATTAAACATAAAAATGTCTTTATATATATATATAGTGTATTGGGCAGCAGATCATTATTCAAACATGTATAAATATAA